GAGAGGTGTAGACTATCTCTTGGATCTTGCTTGGAGGATGTTGCCATGCCTCATTTCCAGACTAAAGACCAAGGAGAGACCAGCAGGAAACAGAACGGGTTCTACAGAGCTGAATACCAGAGAATCCTTGTAGAGACTTAGAGGTGTGTCCTGGACATTGGGAACCATGGACACACAGAATCAGCTGCCTGTGAGGGATGAGGAGGGTGGTGGGGGGAGGGAGGGGGCTGCTAAACAGCTTCTGCTTCCACGAGTTAGTACACACAGGTCCACCCCTTCACCGGAGTGAATGGCTTCCTGGCATAGGCTGGCATGCCAAGGGACAGTAGCTAGGGGATATCCAGCAGTGGGGGAGGGAATAGAAAACCTCACAAGATTATCCCCTAAGAGTAAGCGCCAGCATGCATGAATTGCCTCTCCTCGGCCCCCCCCCCCGCCCCGCCGCCCCCCCCCCCGCCGCTCCCGCCCCCCTCCTCCCCAGGCTTGCCAGCAGTTAATAGACCTACTGTGGTCTGAAGGTTGCTGTCCCGTTCCCTAATTCATGTTAGAACCCAATATATCATGTGACCATATTAAGAGGTGGGGCCATCAGAAGTGATTCAGTCACGGTTAAGGGACTGGCGCCCTTATAAAGGAGGAGGTTGAAAAGGGTTGTCTTCCCCGTAAGGACCCGCCCACACTATATCACCTGCGCAGCAAGGATTGGGCCCTTGGCAGACACCAAATACACATGTCAGCCTTGATCTTTGAATTCCCACCCCACCCTCCAGAACAGTGAGTACATTTTTGTTCTTTAAGTTTCCCACCTAAAGTATGTTCTTATAAACTGGATCACAAGCCAGGGGCTGGCAAAGCAGAAGAGAAAGGAAAACAAACACTCATCCACCAAGGGCTCACAGGCCAGTGTGGGCCTATAGGTATGGTGAGGAGTCACTGCAGCTGCAGCTGTCAAGTTTGTGGGGTTGTTTGGACTATACTTGGTATAAGGGCTAAAACGTGGGCAACTCACGAATCCCGAGATGGATCAGGAAGGCCATTGGGTGAGATTTGTTTTTAATCAGCTGGGGGGAGGTGGTGACAGTAAACATTGGCTTTGTGCTTGGTGTCTTACGTACACTATCAATCAGCCCCCTCACTCCTCCAGGTATCCCTGAGGCATTAGCCTGTTTAGTCCTACTCTAGAGTCGGGGAAGCTGAATGGTGGACAGCTAAGAAATGTGACTGTTTTGCAGCTAGGAAGTTGATATTCGAAGCCATGTTTCACGTTCCTGAGTCTAGTTGTAAAGCTACAGTTTTTGTCCTTGGTCAGCTTCGGGCCGGGTCCAGCCTTCACCCCTGAATCTTGCAGTTTCTGCAGCTGTGCAGACAGTTGGAGCCTCCCCTGCTGCTCGGTGTCTCAGAGGCCTAGTTGCTGCGCTGACCCTCAGTGGCGGGGGTGGGGGGGGCTCTTCTCACAAATCCCCCTCAGAACTGTCTGATGGATCCCCTTCACATCTGTTACCTCCTTCAGTGTGGACAGCTGCTCTTCGGAAGGCGGGTGGCAGTTTTGGGACCATCCTGCAGTGATCTGAAGTCTGGTGCATCACCAGTCATCAAACTTAGAGAGAGGACTGGAAAGGGGAACCATTTTTGTCAAAGAAGACAGGGTACACTGCAACCAGATGAGGTTGACTTTCTTCTGTGGTTGAAAATCTGGAACGAGATGTAGTGCCCACTGGGAAAACCCTGCTGAAAAAAAGAAAAAGGATTTCCCATGCCTGCTCTTCATGTGTCTTCATGTGAAACTTAATCCTTCCTCCCCATGCTTCTCATAACCAGATCAAGAAAGAGACGATGTCTCTTCTACTTCTCAGAATTTACATGTCTTTTCCCTTCTGCACAAAGTGTGTGACCTGGTGGCTTGCACATAAACCACAGAATAATTAGGCTTTCTTCAGAATGTTAGAAAGTTTCCTATACTGGAGGGACTTACTATCAAAGCCAAGGTAAGAAGGAAGTACCAGCCACAGGGGCGGTGGAAAACAAAGAATGAAGATGAAGTATATTGGGGCATATGAGACTAGAGCATCTCTTAGGGAAAATGGCAGGTGAAGTTAGAAAGGCTGTATTATGAGAGGATTAGTTCTCTGTCTTCTCTGCCAGTGATCCTAGTTTTATTACCAGGTACCCTTCCACTCCGGCAAATACCCATAAACCTTAGAGGAAATAGGACATGCAGCCTAGTCCAGGAGTATAGATCCAGAGGGGCCCCTAGCCATGCAGTCACATGTGTGTCTCTGTGTAAGTTAGTGTGGTCCCAGCTTCCTGACAGTTCTGCAGGTAACTGGTTCTCACAGCTTCAGATCCCTCCCACTTGGAACAAGACCCTTGCCACTGTGGTATGCTCACCACAAGCAGAAGCACCCTAATCTTTGCTGATCAAATCTACCTTTAAGCAGGGCAGTCATGTACTAAGAAAAACCATGAGCGATCTAAGGCAGGGATTAGCCAAGTCTCTACCTGTCATCTTTTTGGGTTCACATGTTGGCAGTGTGTCCAGATGCAAATATTTACAAGCAATAGGCCAGCATTTGCAAAAATTAGCAATAGTAGTTTTCCTCTTGCAGATGCTCACAGCCTAAGACTGCTAACTTACAGAGACTTCCTATAGGGACTAGCTAACCCTGCCCCTCTATGCTTCATGTAGTACACACATGTGAAGTTGGGTGTTGGTGGATAGTTGGTATCACTCCATCACAGTACATATGATCCACTTGACCTCAGTCCTTTTGTGTCTGTCACTTCAGAGTCTTTCCTCATCAACCTCAGTCAGGTCAAGTCCCAGGTGCACAGGACATGGCAACATCATTAAGTCACCAAGCCTGTGCTGGAACTATCCCCTTTCAGAATTCCTGTCCAGTTATCAATATGCATATCTCTGGTTCCAGCAACTCCTTGCAGGTTTTGTAACATGGAGCTGAATCCAGAGTAACTATTTGTTTAAAGCCTACAGCAGTTCCTATATAGTCCTATATAGTCCTATATAGTCCTATATAGTCCTTAGAGTGAGCCGGGCAAGTCTATGATTCTATGACAGTGATCAGAGAAACTTTCACCAGGCAAGTCACTAAAACCAAGTATTTCACACTCACTCTGCCTTCCTCACAGAGCCCTGTGGAGATGGCCACATTATTGTCTTCATTGAACAGAGGAGGTTTCAAGAAACAATTGCCCCAAGTTACAGCAGAATTTGCATCCAGACCTCCCAAAGCGAGGATCTTTGTTTGGCTTCTCTTGAGATAGGGTTTCTCTGTGTGACAGTCCTGGTTGTCCTGGGACTTGCTTTGTAGACCAGGCTGGTATCTAACTCACAGAGATCTGTTGGTCTCTGCCTCCTGCTGGGATTAAAGATATGTGCCACCACCACCTGGCTCAAAGCAAAGATCTTAATGGCTTTTCTACTGTGTCGCTTTCATGGGCAGACTTGAAGTATGTTTCAACTCAACTACAAAGGAAGGCAAAATGCTTAATCTTCGTCTACTGCTGCTGTTCTGTTCTCCCTTCTCTTCTTCCTCCTTTGTTTTTCCTTCCTGTCCTCCTCCTCTTCCTTTTCTCTCTCCTCCCCCTACTTTTGTAGGCCAGGGCCTCCCTTGTATAGCTCTGATTGGCCTAGAACTCACAACCCTCCTGCTGAACCCTCCTGGCACCTGAGACTTCCAATTTGACCTACTGATCTTGGCTCTTAGTTCTCTTGAACCTCAGTTTCTCCACAACAACATTTTCCTCGAGGAGAGAATGACCCTGCCATTAAAGGATGCTTATGGGCTTTCAAGACTCGGAAGCTCTTCAGAGTCACAGTGTACTTCACTGTTCTTGTCCGAAAATCATTACACAGGGAAAGTGCATGGTGGTACATGAGCCACAGGAGAAAACGAGATGCAGAAAGTGCCAGGATATAGCAAAGGCCAGGCTGCTTTCTCCTTGCGGCTGTGCATTGTGCTTGACCAAGAACTTGGCAACATTATAATCAAGCTATGGTCTAAGGACATGGGAAGCACGAGAACCCCTTATCCTGCTTCAGGGTACTCTGCAAAATGGTAGGGAGTGAAACAGAATTTGCTCGAGTTGTTGGTGTCGTTTGCTTGTGTGTAGAACCAAGCCATAGTCCAGAGGTAGGTGTTTTCCAAAGCACAGGGCACCAGTGCCTATGAATATTAGCGTGCTGGCATTTCTTCCTTTGGACATCCGAGGAGCCTGAGGGAGGCTTCATGTTCACCTGCAATTGTTGGTTCCAGCTCTATAATCCCTGTCCTGAGCGTGCATGCAAGGCTTTTAATGGGAAAGAAAAATCACCGAGACTGCCCTGCATGATGACCATATGGAACAACACAAAAGCAGGGCTCCATATCCAGACTTCATTGTTGGGATGACTTTTACAAGTGCAAGAAAAACAACCCTGAATGGCTTATTATATAACATCCAGATGTTTGGCAACAGCCACCCCAAATGAGGGGGATGTCTTTTTCATGGTTCATCTGGAGGCTTTGGCCTTGCTATAGACACATGAAAGAGCAGTTTGCCAGGGAGTAGCCTGGTCCTTGTCTGCCTTGTCCTTCCAGAGGCCTATGGGCATCCAGCTGCACCTGGAAGCCTAGACATAGCAGATGAACCTAGGCTTGGGAAACTTCTGGACATCATCTGATGAGTGGCTCCAGTTAGACCAGTGGTTCTCAACCTGAAGGTTGTGACCCCTTTGGGGGTTACAGATCAGATATCCTGCATATGCAAAATTTGCAATTCATAACAGTAGCAAAATTACAGTTATGAAGTAGCAAGGAAATAATTTTCTGGTTGAGGGTCACCAAAACATGAATAACTGTATTAAAGGGTTACAGTGTTAGGGCTGAGAACCACTAAGCAAGCCCCAGTGCCAAGTGAAAGAAATATTCCCTTTCCCATTAGATGTCTGATCCCTTTCATTGTGAAAGTACTAAAGTATCATGGCATTAAAACATGCTTACATGTTTTGACAGCCCATATACTGTCATTGGAAGGATGCAGAGAAGATCAGCATGGCCCCAGGGCAAGGATGACATGTAAATCTGTGTGTCCTATGGCTTTTCTGGGACAGGTGCACTCAAACTCACAGTAGCAGTGGTTGCCTGCACGGATCATAGCAACCAACCTTCCAGCATGGCGGGGGAGGGACTCATGACCTCCTATCCCTTACTAAGGCACCATAGACAAATGATGGCTTTTGGGGGAGGTAGTGTCAGTTTTCTTTAAGGGTGTGGCCTCTGGTAGGCTGAACATGCTTTGTTGGATAGCCCCACATCCATGATATATTGGATTCGGGATTGTCTATTAAGTAAAGAGGTCATAAATTTGGTATGGGGTGATGAGAAGTTAGGGGGGAATGTGATTGAGATGCTGTGCATGAGATTCTCAAGGAATTAAAAATATACTAACATATATTTGTGGGCTTTTAAAAAGTGACAGTTTCTCTTCAAAGTGATAGACAGATGCTCACGTGTTGGATGGCTTGTTTATCTCTGTGTGTTTGTTCTCAGCTGGAGGAGGCTGTAAGCATCCTTGCTGTAGAATAAGGAACCTAAGACCCAGTTAGTGGAAACGTGTAATGTATTGAGAAAGCAGAGAAATCTTTGCACGCCCTGTGGGGGAAATCCTTTCAGTCCCATCACTGATAAACAAATCTGGAGGTCAAATAAACACCAAGGCCTCTTACTGATAGAGAATTTGCCTGTCTGTGAATTCCACTTGCTTCGGAGCCCAGATCATATTATTCACTTTTCAGACCCACCTCGAACAAAGCCTTCCAAGGAAAGAAATCTTGGCCCTGACTCCATCTGCCAAAGAGCACTCAACTCCAACCTTTCCTTGGAACTGAGAGGGTGTTCAGGGCACCTGTGGATGTCTCCGGTTGCACTTGTTATTATTTGGTGCTTTTGTTAGGCTTGAAGCGTCCACGAGGCATTGTATAGTACTGCAGATCAGAAGTTTCACACTGCTTCCTGCTGTGCTACCCAAGGCAAGAGTAATGATCCTCAAGCTGCTACAAAAATCCCTTTAAAAAGTCACATTCAAGGCTCAGTACAAAAAGCCTTTTCCTGAGTGTCAATGCCCACCCCATCCTTCCAGAGCCTTGGGAGTCTTTTCTGTCAAGTTCCCTATGCAGCTTCATTACAGTGGTTCTGTTATGGGGTCCTGAAGAAACAGGGAATGCCTTTTCTTCTTTGTCAAGGTGATCACCTAGCAAAGCTATTATTAATTAACTATTAGTAATGAATTGAGTCTAGGAACATGCACTTGGCTTCTTCTACATCAGTTCATGTGTAAACATGTGTGAGTTCTTGGCAGAGATATGCAGTTAGATCCAGGCAGGCCAGGAGTGTGTTTCAGTAGGAGTTAGGGCAATCCTCTCAAGCCTTTGATAGTATCCTCCAAGATGCTGAAAGGTCTGGGAGCCACTTGGAGAAGCAGGGTATGTTGCACAGAACCATGCAAAGCATGTCTCCCATCTCTGAAAAGGAAGAGAGGTCCTAAGGGGTAGCCTCAGCTCCTGGGGACTGGACACTCACCTATTGAAGCCACCTGTACACGCCCCTGCCCAGTGTCTGCAGTCAGGCCCACATGTGTGATGTTCAGTAGAGGCTTGTGAGAGAATCAAACCCGAGAGCCTGTAGGCTCTCTATAGCTGGGCGGCAAGTTAACTCCAAGCATGCAATCTATGCAAGCCTTTATCACAGTTTCTGATAATCATGATGATAATGGTGCTGGCTCGGGGTCTCCCATGATGTGCGGGTCAGATATTTTGGGGGTATGTCATCTGACTTGCACAGAATGGAAAGCAGCCTTTCCTAAAAACACCTCTTGCCCCAGGACTACTCACCCAAGAAGAGGCTCCGGTGGCTCAGTGTCTGCAGAGTCACCGAAAAGAAGTGGGATAATCTGTACTCGCCGTCAGCATGGCAGGGAGTAGAGAAATCAGCTTGAAGAATTAAACATAGCAGGAGAGCTAAGCACAGAGGTGACAGCAGTGTGGCCGGGCACTTGTGATCAGCCGCACGAATCATGGCAGGCATGAAGCTCTAGAGGGACTCATGGAAAGTGTGACAAATGGCAAGACCGCACAGCCTGGGTCATCCCTGTGCATACTCAGGTGACTCTGACTAGTCAGCATCTTCATTATTTCCTGGGCCTGGTAATAACTCGAAGGGCTTCTGTGGGAAGGTTGTGAGGGCAGCTGCTAGAGGGCAAGGCCTGAGCTACACTGGTAATATTCCCAAGAGTGACTACAGAGCCCCCTCTAACACCTTCCCTGTCTTTAGTCACACTTAAACAGTGTCCACCCAGACCTGGGCTGGAGAGTATAACGATTCAGTCACCATTCAGAATAGATTCCCAAACACATAGACCCATCCTTCACCATCCAAGCATTGCAATCTTTTCACCTTCTCTAGAGAAATGCGCAACGAGAGGAACCCATTTCTTCACTATCTGGCTTCCGTAACTCAGGCCTATCCTGGTCACCTGGCCTGTAGCTTCTCTCTCCCAGCCTGACCTGTGTTCCACCCCTGCTGTAAACTCACCCTAGAGGATTTCCAGGTATGTCCTGGAGTCTGGCAGCCCCTGAAGTCAAAGAGCCAACTAGTCTGAGCCCTTCATACTCCTCCTCGTCCCTCTTCATCTGTTTGTTTGTTTTTTCGAGACAGGGTTTCTCTGTATTGCTCTGGAGCCTGTCCTGGAACTCATTCTGTAGGCCAGGCTGGACTTGAACTCACAGAGATCCTCCTGCCTCTGCCTCCTGAGTGCTGGAATTAAAAGGGTGTCTCTGTGTAGCCCTGACTGTCCTGGGACTCACTCTGTAGACCAGGCTAGCCTTGAACTCAGAGGTTCGCCTGCCTCTGCTGAGACTAAAGGCTTGTATCACCACTGCCTGGTCCTTTTCATCTAAGACAGGTGAACTCAGGTGTTGTTTTTGGATCTGGTGTGTCCTCCAAATGCTATGCTTGAAGGCTAGGTCCCCAGCAGATGGCGATATTGGTAAGTGGTGGAACCTAGCGAAAGTTGGAATTTGGGAGGTGGGACCCTTGCCCCCTTTCCTGTCTGTCATTTTCCTCTTGGACACTGTGATGTAAGCAGCTTCCTCCACCATGTGTCCTTGCCACAATTGTACTGCTTCACCACAGACCTAAAGCAATAAAGCCAACAAACCATGGGCAGAAACCATGATGAATGTTGCCTCTGAGTAAGTTGCTCCTCTCAGGTCCTTGTGAGAATGATTGAAAACTGGCTAACACAGGTTGTCCTTCCATATAGGGGTCCCCATGAACCCAGGATGGATAAAAGGAAAAGATACTCTCCTTCCCTATCCCTGGGCAGTCCCTAATTGTCTCTACTGGAAGGCCTTTCATGGACTCACAACGGTGGAATCTATTTTGCACCCTAAAATGACACCTTAAGTTTTAACAGAACAGACACTTTTTAGGGACTATTCTGCTGTCCGACATCAACAGAGACCTGTTACGGAGCTAGCTTTCCATTGCTGTGACAAAAAGCCTGAGTAGATCAATGGAAAGGAGAAGACTTACTTTCTCTCATGGTTTTGGCTGTTTGAACCCAGGGTCACTGTGCCCTCTGTCACCCTTATCAGCAAGCACAGCATGTCATCGTGGAGAGCCATAGACTGCTTGCTGACCCAGTCTTTAGAATTTGAGAACTGAGGGGACATTAGAGATCTAAATCAAGTTGGATATGGTGGCTTCTTTCTGTAATCCCAGCATTTGGGGAGCTGAGGTAAGAGGGTCATCCTTGGGTCAAGGCTATCCTGTGCTATATGTGGATACATGATACGTTCTAGGCTACCCTGGGATACCAAATGGAACCCTATTTGTTGTTGTTTTTTTAAAGTCTGTCTTAATTAGGATTACAATTGCCTTGGAAAAAATAAAAGCAAAAACAAACAAACAAACAAACCACCATGACCAAAAGTAACTTGTGGAGGAAAGGAAAGGATTTATTTCACTCCCAGTTTCCCAAAACAGCAGTGAGGGCAGGAGCTCACACAGGGCAGGAGCCATGAGGCAGGGGCTGGAGCGGAGGCCATGGAGGATGCTGCTTACTGGTTCACTCCCTCTGGCTTGCTCAGCCTGCTTTCTTATAGAGCCGGGTTCCAAAGGCCTGGCATGGCCCCACCCACAAAGGGCTGGACCCCCTCTCATCAATCTCACCCTCTTCTCAGATGACCATAACAATTACTATCTCCATGCCTGGAGGGAGTCAGGAGAGGAATAGCTTCCAGAACACAAAGAAGGGTGGTAAGGATGGGACCACAGTGTAGACTGCTGCGGTGGTAATAAGTTAACAGAGTTCAATGTCTTCCTACCTTGCAGAGTATTTCTGACATCGTCTAACTTAAAGCAGAAGTTATACACCATGAGCATACACTTGACCTTAGGGGGTTGAAAGAAGCCTTAGTCCACCTGAAGAGGAAATGAATATGTAAACGTCCAGTCCCTGGAGTCACATTGCCTAGGTTTGAGCCCAAATGCTACCATTTACTGGCTAAGGGACCTTGGGCAATTATTTTGGCTCTTAACATCCCAGTCTGTAAAACGGGGATGATAATAGCACACCTAACTCATAGGGCGGCCATGAGAGTTTAATGAATTGGCATTTGTGGCGCTCTTAGCGCTGCTCATAGTGAGTGCTATTGTTGCTATGCCTTAGAGAGGTTGAAAGTGGATTTCAATGAGGGACCACTTCATGCTGCACAGAGAAAACAAAAATGGCTTCAAAGTAGGAGCTATGAGGTCAAACACTCAGAACCACAGGGCTTCATTTCAGACCACCTGTTTCTTATAGCACCGGGCAATGCTAGTGGGCTCTCTCCAGAATGTGGCGAAAACTGAATTTGCATATTTAAGAAGTACATCTGGAAAGGCCACTGAATGTCCATAAACGTCTGTCAAATTGAATCAAAGCAACAGTCTGCGGCGGATTTAAAATATTTCCACTAAGTCTTTGATGATTCTGACTCCAAGATGTGAAACCTAACCTCTCCCACCCCCCCCCACCCCTCAAGCCTCACTCCTCCACTTTGA